CTATTTATCAAAACAGGTATCAAATATATATATATAATACTATATATTGTATATTATATATCATATATTGTATACTATATATTAATATGTCTCTCTGTGTGCATGTGCATGTGAGTCCAGGTGCCCGCAGATGCCTGCAGCTGGAGTTTCAGGCAGTTGTGAGTCAACCCATGTGAGTTCTGGGAACCAAACTCAGGTCTTCTGGAAGAGCAATGTGTTCTTAGGCACTGAGCCATCTCTCCAGACCCAAGGTATCAAATATATATGTTTGCCTAAGTGTGGTTGTTTCTAAAAATGACAAGGAATAACATGATCAAAAGTCTGTTAACTTTCTACTCTCAGAATTTCAATCTGGTTTTAAATTTATTGTTTTGGATATGCACAATAGAATCTTAGTAATTACTATTGTCTGTTGAATGAAGAACCAATGATTTATAAAGCTAATAGGATTTTCAGTAAATGAAATTGCAAAATGCAGCCAAAGAACATTTTGTTTTGGTAATGACATGTTTTGATGTTGGCTACAAGTCTTTAATTTAGTACAGAATTCTCTCTCTCTCTCTCTCTCTCTCTCTCTCTCTCTCTCTCTCTCTCTGTATGCGTGTGTTTGTATATTCGAGATAAGGTCTCATTATGTAGCTTTGGCTGTCCTGGGACTCAGAATGTAGACCAGGCTGGACTCAAAACTATAGTATTATTCCTGCCTCTGCTCCACTTGTGCTGGGATTAAGGACATGTGTCACCAAAACTGTTTTCCGGCCTAATTTAACTTCCTAGATTATTTGACATGAGATTCTACTCCAAGTGCTTAACTTGTATAGATCAGCTATTGTTTCTCTGGCTTGATAAAGAAAGCCGGCAGAAATAAGCACATTTTAATTTCACTATACTTTGCCTATCATTAAATCATCTTTCTAGGTGATATCTGACTCTTAGTGGTCCCTCAATGCCTGTCACGCATCTTCCACCAGCTAGCTTTAATAACAAGACAAACATTTGCTTGGTTGGCAAAAAATTACTCCTAAGAAAACACAGGTACACTTGACCAATCCCCTTCTCAGTCAAGCATCTGATTGTCTTCCAGGTTCCTGGCTTGGTGCTTTTGAGAGTCATGTAGTGGGGAAGTTCACCACAGGAAACAGTATATCATGAGAGTGACTTCCACCATAGATTAGGAAAATTAATCACTTTAATAAAATTAATCATTCATTCCTTTCCTGGATTTAATTAAAGTTGTAGCTTTTACTGTGAAAACAATAAAAAAAAAGTATAAACGAATAGTATGGGGGCAGAAAGGAAAAACAGGAAAATGAGATGTTTCAAACAAAGTTTCTGGAAGAAGAAACTAGTATAACATGGTAATTCTTGAGAACTGTATGACACCTAAAAAGATTGCTTTGTGTTTTCTAGCTGTGTTAACTTCGTGATACTGTGACAAATTGCCAGAGAGAAATCAACTTAAAAGAGATAAGGTCTAGTTTGGTTTATGGTTTCATGCGTTTCAACCCATAAAGGAACCAATTTAGAACTAGATGTCATGCATGGGAACATGGAGTTAGGGGAAGCTGTTTACCTCAGAGCACTCATGGAGAAAGAGAGAAAAGGGAAGGGGCAGGATTAGTAAAACCCTCTTTAAAGGCTATGTCTCTAATAATCGACTTTTGTCAACTGGGCCTCACTCATGAATTTTCTATTGTCTCCCAGTGGTTCCATTAGTTGGAGACATCGCCTTCAGCACATGAGCTTCCAGGCCATATTTACAATCGATAGCACTACTTCTGCACACTCTATATAAACCATAAGAAAGGAGATGACAGACTGACAGAAGAAGGGACTGGGAATCTGACAGCTGTACCTTCCTGTTGGTTCCAATTTTGCAAAGCATGAACATAAATACAAAACCAAATTCCAGCACAACCACACTCCTCCCTCCCTCTACTTTGTGTTTTATTTTTGGCTCTCTGGTTTCCTAGTCAGGCTATCAACAAAAGTGGGAAGCAATTCCTAAGTACTCCCCTATGTACCCACCTACCTTGATGTGAACATTTCCTATCTCTCACACATCTTACCTCCCATTTAATACTCTTCCCCTCTTAATCCCTGCTGTGTTTTGCTCCTAGCAAGCTTTCAATTAATCCCCACAGAGGTGTTAACTGATAACCAAAGTGTTAACTGGAGTGTAAATCCCCTCAGGACTATTTAAATGTTGAAAGCAGGCTCTTTGAAGACCCAAATGCTCAGTAATACAGAGAAGCTGACAGAAAAGCCTTCACTGTGATTAATAGCATCACACTTAGTGGACTTTCACTCTCACTAGAAACATGCCCAGTCTCTTAGCTTAGAAAATGATAATGACTTTGGAAGGAGAGGTATGAAAAGCTTTGTAAGAAAAATGAAATGGACCAGCCCAAATGCAAAGCCAGGGCAGACAACTTCCACTTTTGCTGTTTAGAATAACAAATGTAATTTGCTTTAAAATCCCACTTTGTTGTCCTTTCTGGAACTTAATAATCTACCAGACTTTATTTCAAGCTCTGTACAACTGTCATTGCTTGTCCTTCAACAAATTTTCACACTGCAGTGACTTCGCTATGTGAAGACATATTTTGGGAAGGTGTCAGTGAAAGCCAAGATGAATAAATGTGTGTTTCCATACACTTAAGGTGATCCTGCTAGCATTCAGTGGCAATCCTTATGCTAAAATATACATGTTGAATAATGAAAGGTGGGTTGTCAGAAAAATCATTCCTTAGAATAAGACTTCTTAAGAGGTAGATTTAAAAACTTATAGGAGTAGCTTTATTTTTAAAATCACTGACTTGAGACCAGGTGTGGTGGCACACTCCCTTGGTCCCAGTACTTTTGAGGCAGAGGCAGGACAATTCCTGTGATATTGAGGCTAGCCTGGTCTACATAGGGAGTGCCAGGCCAGCTAGGGCTACAAGGAGACCCTGTGTCATAAAGACCAAAAAACAAAACAATCACTGACTTGAGGCTGGAGAGATAGCTCAGTAGTTAAGAGCACTGACTGTCCTTGTAAAGGACCCAGTTTCGATTCTCAGTACCCATATGGCAGGTAACAACTGTCTGTAACTCCAGTTCCAGGGGATCCGACACCTTTTTCTGACCTTCACGGTATTGCATGTCTGGTACAATTACACACATGCAGGCAAAACACTCATACACATAAAAGTGATAAATATATATTTTTTAAATCAAAATCACTGGCTTATGCTATGCATCAGTGTTATAAAATTTAACATCTTTAAAAGAGTTTTAAATAATAATGACATATTCTTATTGAATTAAGAAAAAAGTACTTGTTTAAATTTAGAAGTAGAGAAGTGAGGACGTAGACAGGAAGAAGGGGTTTTGGAAGGTGTATTTGCCAACTCTTATTTAATGATATATAAAAGAAAACGCAGATATTCAAAAATGCATGGCAAGCCTTCCTGTGACTAAAAATAAATATGTTTTTTAAGAAAAATACGTATTTCTGTTCTCAATGTCCTATGCCATATCTTTACACCAATCAACACTTCTGTCAATTAAAATTATAGATTTGAAGATTTTTCCCTTCCACCATTTCTTATTGCACAAATGGGGGAAATTCAGAAAAGTGTCTTTTATTAGTTGAAAATAGCAGTTTCCTTCAGTTATGCTATGTAGTCTGCACTTGAATTTAGAAATGAATAGTAAACATTGTTTTATTTCTTTTTGAATATCTCTTGAAAGTTATCATGCAGTGTCATCTGAGTTCAAAGCATTGAGAATAGAAGAAGGCAGCTATTGTTGCCACACAAATAATTTTCTCCTGAATTTTAGAAGGAACAAGGAATTTCCAAACGTCATAGCTTGGACAGATGTAGTTCGATTGACATCCAATAATTAGAATACAGATGCCTAATACTTTTGTGTTCTTCTGGTTTATAGAAATCTGATTTGTGTGCAAAGCACGCTTCACCTGAGCCTTGCAAGCACATGGAAGAGAAATTCTTTGTAGGATTCTCTATTTAGGGAGCTACACCCCCCATCCACCCCCACCCCCTAGCCTTGTGTAGAACATGTAGAAAGGTCTTGATGAGCCAAATATTTTATACCAATGGAATTGTGAAGTGCAAAATTATGTTTAGGGTTTTAAAGTGATCTGCTAATTTTGTAAGAGGGAGACAGAAAGTTTTTAGTTTTTAATTCAGGTCCTAGAGCCTACCACACAGTTATCAGAATTTCCATAAAACAGAAATGGGTATTCACTGTGCATGACATGTAGGTGTCCGCAAACATATTACACACTAATGGATCTGCCTTAAAAGAAGAAAGTTTGTGCTCTGTAATAATTCAGAAGTTCAGAGCGCACTATATTTTCTGAAACTAAAGAGATTATCCAAGACGGTTTTATGGTTTTGCTTTATCTATGGTGGGGCTGGAGCATAGGCCAGATTTACAGGAAAATCCTAGGGACTCTTACGTGGCTCTGCATAAAGTTTTCTTCAAATCTCCCCATGTCTGACTGACACCCTTGCAATTGCAGAGCAGAGACAAGAGAGAGACAACCTAGACTCTGTGTTCAGTCTTAGAGCAGAGAGAATGAGCTGGCTGTATCAGGAACCTGAGAACCTCTTCTGGAGGCGAGAGGTTAGAAGCAGATAAGGATTCCTAGGCGAGGAGCCTACCGCATCCGCATCCTCTGACTCCAGCCACCACGCATTGCATCCGGAACCCACTGCAGCTGGGATTCAGGGAGAGGAAGGTGGGACTGAGGGAGGGAAAGACGGAGTTGGGGGAGGGAGGAGTGAAGCGAGGGGAGCTGGCGAGGGAGGGTGGGATGGGGGAGCGCCCGGCGCAGGGAGCTGAGTGGACGGCTCTAGACAGCTGCGCGTGCAGCAGCTCCAGCTAGCAGCGAGTTGCCAGAACCCGGCTGCTTCTCCTTCAGGAGCTGTGAGCCCCGTGCCAGCTCCCAACAAGGTGATGCGCCCGCAAGCGTTTTGTCTGCCCGATGGGACTGTTGCTGCTTGGGGCTTCCTCCCTTGCACCCCCTTCTTCTTCTCCCTTGGGTCTGCGTGTGTGTGAGTGCTCGGGTTTGTGGATGAAGCCTCGGGGAAGGGGACACCCTGTCCCTGCTCCTCTCTCCTCTCCAACCCGTCCTCCCTCGCTGATGCATGCCTTCCAGGGGTGCCGCATCTTCACACCCGGTGTCTGACACCGCTCTGTACCCCTGGTTGTGTCTCCTTCCCAGATGCTCAAGGTGTCAGCCGTATTGTGTGTGTGTGCAGCGGCTTGGTGCAGCCAGACTCTAGCAGCTGCCGCTGTGGTGGCTGTGGCTGGGAGCCGGTCGGAAGGCGGTAATTTTCTGGATGAAAAACAATGGCTCACCACAATCTCTCAGTACGACAAGGAAGTCGGACAGTGGAACAAATTCCGAGACGTAAGTGCTGCTCCCCCATCCCCAGTCACAGGCGCGCTTAGCTCTAGGGGCGGCGCAGTGGCGGCCTGAGGAGGGGAAGAAGGCTAGGTTTTCTTAGGAGCGAGATTTTGGGTGAAAAAGATTGCTCTTGGCCAATAGAGAACTTGCAGTCTCCGCTTCTTCCCTGCTGGTTTAAATGGGGATTTGCTTGTTGGATGCACTGGAGTTAGGTCACACCACGTTCCCACTTTTCCCCCTCGCCACCCCACACTCCCACTGTAGCCCCGGCCTTGGCCCCAAAGGTTTGCAAAGGAGCTCCCTCAACCGACCTTCTCAACTTTTGAATGGTGTTTTTGGCACTGGCATAAACAGCAGAGATGCCTTTGCGTTGTCTTGCGCTAAAGTAACTAGGATCGATCCCTTTACTAATGGTCCATTAAGGAATTTGAGGGAGGAGGTAGAAAGATGTAAGATTTATAAATGCCTGCTCTCCAAGTGTGGGAGGTTGTTTGGCGGCACCAGTCGGCAGAAGTTGAACTGCTGCTGCTCCGGATTATGTAAAACTGCCCACCTAATTTGTGTTCCTGCATTAACTTTAACCTGGAAAACGTTGGCCATGTACTTTATTACGTTTCTCTCTGAAATTCATCCATGCTGTACAATCTGCTTTAGTGAGGTTATGGGGAGGAGGAATGTGGGTGACAGGTGACAGCAATGAAAGAGTTAAACTGTAGATTCCTTTCTGAGTTTTATAGAGTTCTTAAAAAGAAACCAGTTTTAGAGATTCCCACATTTTGTTTGCCTGAAGCCAGTGGCCAGGACATGCTAGTCATTACATCCCGGACACACACCTGATCTGAATGGAGTCATAGGCGAATCCCCCCACCCCTGTCCTGAGCATAGTTCATCTGAGGCTTTGAACTTGGCTGATCTAGTGAGGAGATCCCTCTGACTCCTGAGTAACATCCCTAGTACGCCCTACAAAACCCAGAAGGTCTGAGAGGGCCAGCAAGTGATTCACATTGTCAAGCCTTACAGTGGCATTTGAGAGGATGTCTCACGGAGTCTATCTGCAGTGCACTCCGTGTGGATGAGCTAACTTCTCTCATCAGGTCAGACTCACGATTTTGGAAAACAAACGGAAGCTTGGGCTAATTTTCATCGTGGATCCTTGACTCTCCTCTCCCACCATCTCTGCATAAAGCAGCTGGCCAGAAAAATCCCAAAGAGGGATTCTGAAGAAATGTGATTATAGTTTAAATTTAAATCTAGTTAGTTGATACTAGCATGAAAAATGCTTATAGTAACTCCTACTGGAGGATTCAGTCATGCTTTATGAATGAAACTTGAACATCAATATTTTTGGTAATTAAATACCCTTATGAATGCCAAGCTCTTATCTGTTTAAGTTTATACTAATATTAGATGTTATTAAGAGTAAGCAAACAGATATTTTATACCAGGAAAGAATTACTACTTATGCCTTCATTGGACAGAAGATATATTGAAAACCCTGGCAGTATTTGAACAGTGCTTCCAATATTGACATGTATTTATTGAATGACTTAAAAATTGTTTAAAGTGAATTTTAGGCACTTCTAACACATTTTAAATTTTGAATGTCTTAGGACTCTGATTTTAGCTAAATTATTTTAACATTAAGAGTTTTCAGTTGACCCTTGAACAATTTGTGAGTGTTCGATTTATTGTGGCAAGATGAGTTGCTTACTGTAAAAGAATTTATGAACCCAATTTCAATTGAGATGGAGTGAGTTTGGTATGCCAGTTTCAGGTGTTTTTAATGTGCTCTCCAGAGAAAAGGCCATCAAAATTGCATAAGTTAAATAAAGGTCTGGAAATACATTAAAGGATGCATTCTCATATATACAACACTTTAAAATGAATCTGATTTATTTTTAAAACTTATGTTAGTCTTTAGAGTTGTCATTTTAGGAAAGCAGTTGCATTTTTGTAAAGATCACTTCAAGACGGCATGGAGAGAATAAACAGTATGATCATTTCCCATTTAAATTATACCTGTTGCTTATTGCTAATGGTGAAATGAATGCTGACAGTTTCGGTTCTTAGTTCAGCCCTCAGAATGCACAGTACAGAATCCTGTGTATCCCATTCAAACCACTGATGCTTGCTTCTCTTCCTTCCATTGAGGGGAATCATAGTTTATAGTGTTTATCATCATAAAAGAGGCTAATATATCTAAACTAATTTTTGGATGGAAGTACATGATTATAAGGCATTGTTTGAAATAACATTTTATTATAGTATCTACCTCTAAATATTCTGCCTACAATAACAGATTCGCATACTCAGCTTTTAGGAAAGCAAACAGATAAGACATCAGAACCTCTCCTTTTGTAAACAATTTGACTGAAGCAATTCCTTGTCATGCTTTTTTTTTCATAAAAATTAATTGACTTTATTTAGAAAACATAATTTTTCAGCATAATTAATTCTTCAGCAGAATTAATAGTGGAATTAATTTTTACCTTCCTTCTTTGTGAATGGTTGTATTATAAAATCAATATTATTTTGTAAGTAACTCTTTCAAAGCTAAATTGTGCCTTCTTTTGAATTATGTTTTGAAACTCTATTGACTGTTACTTAAAAACATGATTCATAGCTATTTTAATAGAATAATAAAAAATTAATGTTTCTCTTTTCAAAATTTTCAGTTTAACATAGATATGTAGGTATATGTTATAATAGATGATTAAAAATGAGGGTCATTGATACAAAGTGTCATGTCTTAGCAGATGAATAGGAATTTCCATCCTGATGACTCATTTTCTCAATAAAAATCAGGGAAATGATGAAGCCAAAGAAAAGCTGACCATGAATATGTGTTAACAAAAAAGAACATCAAATACTTTTAGCTTCCCTGTCTTGTGAACATCCATAATACATCTTGCTTTGTTATGTTCCTTGTCTTCCCACCTATCCAAATGAAACCAAAGAAATATAAGGAACATTTACTTCTTTAAGGGTCATTAATATATTTGGTAAAATTCTAGGAGATGTTTTAATTTTATGTTATAGGAAGTAAATAAAAAATGAAAAAGTTTAACTTAACCTAAGACTGTAGAGGAATTCAACACATTTAAAAATTACTAGCTAGAATCAGTATAATGTTTTCAGGATGTGATAATATAAAGTTAAAATGAAATAGGGGTTATTGGTATAGTGCATTCTTACCATGAAGAGGACCTGGTTTTGATCACCAGCACACACAAACACACACATACACACACACACACACACACACACACACACAAACACACTCAATTGATGTAATATATAACCCACTTTTAACAATGGGATTTGTTTAGTACATATTCTGGTTGCATGCTTTATTTTGAATGTACTTTTGGGTTGTGATATTCATCATACAGATTCATCCGTGGGAGAATTTGGGGAGTACCGCTAACTTCTCCAAGATCTGGAGCATAAAGGACTTTCTCATTCCATCCTTATATATGTATTATGAAATTGAAACCATAATCATTATGAGGAAATTGAATCATTGGCTCAATTGTCTCATATACTGCATATTTTAAACATTCATTTTTCAAAAGTTAAATTAAACTATACTCTTTATCCTCAAATGAATACAGAATTTGAAAACCAGTGAAGAAATTGATAACAAATGATGTAATCCCGTGACCAACCACATACACTATTGATTTCACTGAAGTCCATGTGCTAATAAAGAGTCACAGAAATTATAAAATATGAGAAACCTTAAAATACTGTGCCTTGGAAGTTGTAAAATTAAGGCCTAGGAAAAGGAGGTTTGATGGCCAGGGTAACTTTCAGTAGATCATATTAAAAAAACATCACACTACAGAAATTCAAGAAGTACTCAATGGATTCAATAGATTTATATGTTGATATATGTATATATGTTTCATATGTACATATAACAATAAATGGAGGAGTTCATGATATTAGAGGAAGTAGGGAGGAAAAGTTCAAAAGGGGAGTGAGTGAGGTAGAAGTGATATAAATCTTCATGTGTAACATTCTCAAAAAATATTTTTTTTAGAAAAAGCTCTATATTATACTTATGTTTCAAATAATATCTGGGTCTCATTTGGGCTTGTTTCAAAACTGGTTACTGTTAGAGACACAGGTGCCAACATATAAGCATTATTAGCAAAACCAATGAGTCTTTCTGTAAGAAACAGTATATTTTAAAATGAAATGGAGATCTTTTTTAAAGGTTAAAAATGCACTCAATTTTATGTCTTACAGGGTTTGTACTGAATTCAATATTGTATAACTGTATTAATTCAACTGTGAACCTAAAATTTTTATATTCACTTTTGAAAGAGTTGTAACTTTGCTCTGGAAATTGTTATTGGGTATGCTAAAATTTTTTTTAAAAATACATATATAAACAACCAAACATCAAAAACTGACCAACCAGCCAAATAAGCAGCCACAAACCTACACCCCCACCCTCCAAAGAGACTAACAAATAATAGCATTTTATTTACCCAGTGAGCCAGGGAGCATTTGTACTAAGTGACTATGATGCACAATATACTGTGGTTGGGTTTTTGGCAGTAAATAAAAGACAGGAACTGCCCTGGTCACAGTTCACAGGGGATTGGCTTGCTTTCTTTATTCCTGTTGTTAAGTCATGAGAGCAAAATATCTGAGCCATGATATTTTAAAGACATTAACACATAGACTTTTCCCAAGAGCCTTTAGTTCTATCTTTGTTCTTATCTTTTCATGTTTAAGTATTATAAACTGAGGCATTCTTTGAACAAAAAGCAAACAAACAAACAAACAAAAAACAAACAAAAAACCTTGTTACTGTTAGTATTTTGAGAACCACAGTCAAAATTTGTCTATATTTATTATTTAAGTAATTTTTAATGCTCTTTCTGTAGGTTGACAATATTAAATGTCTTCCACACAACTTTAAATTTTAACACTCAGATTTCCTAGAGGATGTGTAGAAAACTCTAAAAATATTGCATGCATATCAAGAA